CTCTGATGAATTCGAGCGAGAAACAGCCTTATAACTTAGTGAGAAAGAAATTCATGATACCTCAAAAATCCATCCCGCGATACACTAATCAAGAACCAGATGAATTTCCCCTTTACCTGATAAGAGAACTTCAAAACAAAATTATACATAAATAGGGAGCAACCCTAATACCTCAAACCAAGGCGTCTGATTCCACGAGATGCGGGATATGGCAATGACTTAGTGAGAATGATGCAAATGGGATGTAGAGTTCAAAGTCGAACAAAAGTAAAAAGAGGTAGGGCAAATTTGGGGTACGACAACACTATTAGAAAGAGGAAATATGTCACTTGGGGATAAACATAATCAAAGTAGATGCACCCAAAACATCGAGAAATGTGAATGTGCATGAATGAGATAAATGTGAATGAATAAATGAATGTCATATATATACTGACAAAACAGACAAAATATATAAACTAGGGATGATAAGACCTCACAGTAAACACAGATACTCGACTAATCTCAACAAAATGGGAATATCACTGAAGATAAAACAAAAGCCATCAACAGAGCGTATTTCTTCTATAAGGCTCTAATCTTTCTCGATTGAAAGATATTCTTTGGGAGAAAACTCAAAGTCCAATCTTTTAACATCAATAATCCATTGGAAGAATAACAACACAAACTCCGCATCAGTCAGGGAGAAAGAAAACTTACCTAGCAGGAAACACTGGGGGATACCACCATCTGATAATGTGTGCAAAGCAGATCACATATCTTGACAAATCTGGATTGCCCTTAGAACTAATTTTGTATGCCCCAAGTTTACTGCTGATAAACTGCATGATGCACGAAAATTCTCGCGAATAACTTCACCTCTTAAATGCCCAAAGAAATCGTATCAAAAGGATTTTACAAAAGACATGGCATCCAAAATTCTACAGTGTCTTCAAAATCTTAGAGAGATTCGTCGAATCTTGACGTGACCGCCCTATATTGACAATATTTGGCACAATAGAGTTTTCAAATTTTCCGTATGAGGGTTTTCAAGAAACATGCCCCTGGATATAATCATTCTTGAAAATCATTCGCCAATTACTAAACAAAGTTTCAGACCTTAAAAGATTAAACTCATCATTGGTGCTTATATGTAAGCTTCCTTGATATCAAACAAATGTTTTACAAGCAGAAAAAGTTTATTTTGAGAATGAAAATTCTAATGCAACAGTTATGTAAGTCTTGAAGATTTTTGAAAAGATGTCGCATAGCTTGGGAATTAGAGAAGCATTTATTTTTGTATAGCTAAAGCATATGATACCAACACAAATATTTAACAAAACTTATGAGAGTCAGGAATGAAATCTTGTCGAAGTATGCTTTCGAAATAACCTTGCTTCAATTAGGACTTTGGAAGGTTGTAACGTGGCCGGGTTCACGGTTTTAAGAAAAAAGATTTTTAGGCTCAAAATTTATTGGTGCCCACCCATTCTTCGTGATGTCCTCCAGTCCTAAGTTTGGTTAATTAAACATTTGTGTTCATTTCTCAAAAAAATAATTTGTGATGGTTAAGGAAGTGATAAGGCTTTCAAAGTAGCAATCACCCTTCTTGTGTTTGTGTTTGTAGTCACACAAAGTTTTTCTTGGTTGTGGACTTTTCTTTGTAGTCCTTTCTTTGCAATCACCCTTCTTGTGTTTGTGTTTGTAGTCACACGAAGTTTTTCTTGGTTGTGGACTTTTCTTTGTAGTCCTTTCTTTGCAATTCTGTTTTCCTTAACTTTTGTCAGAACTAATTCTTTTGAATTGATAGTTCAGTGGGATGCCGTGACTTTTGCCTAAGTGCTCATTTTCAAGTTTTTGACTTAGCGGGCTTTTTTCTTCTTTTTTTTTTTTTTGAAAAAATGTGTAACATTAGCTTGTCTTTACTTGTTGAGAGGATTATGAATGCCTCGTTTCTTTATGGATGAGGGATAACCATTGTGGTTTCGCATCTTCTAGCCTCATGATATATGAAGGATAGCCATCACAGTTTCTCTTCAGAAATATATTCCTTATGAATTTTGAACACTCGATTAGATTAACTGAAAACTACCCTGCCCCAGGTTAAACTTGAGGGTTTTTTCGTAAAGAAAAGAAACTCATACTTCAAGGCTCAAAAGGGGTTAACAAGGGATTATCTTCCTTATATCTCCAGTGTTTAGTGATTTGAAACAATGCATGTACATCTTCAGCAAGATTTTATTCAAAAACATACAACCAGAGATTTTGTGTTTTTCAGATCACCATACTCCCTTCAATCTCAGCCTAGGGAAGAGAATGGGCAACATGTTGGTATCGTAATGCAAAAAAAAAAATTGAAAACAAATATGAGTGAAACAAATGAATTTCTTCAAGACAAACATACTCATTTTATTAAGATAATCATTCAAATGTAAACAAGTTCTTACATGCAAACAAAGCTTTAACAAACATGAAAGATTACAAGGGAAAGTAGTAAAAATGGTAATAAACTGAGAAGACTCTCTCCTTATGGACTTGAGCTGCTGGAAACATCCTTCAAAACTCAGAGTAACCATTTTCATGTTTACTCTTCCGTAAATGCTTGATTTGAACTTCAAGACCAACGTCATTGAATGATAAGATACCACTTTTGACCAACTTCTGGACTTCAACTTTCAATGAATAACAATGTTCAATGCTCTGCCCAGGGGCTCCCTGATGAAAGGAACAAGTTAAACCAGCTTTGTAGTACCAAGGCATCTTCCAAGGAATCTTCGGTGGAAGTCAAGTTCGAACCAAATTCCTCTACATCAGGACAGGAAACAACTTCGTATAGGTCGTTGGAATTGGATCAAATTGAGTTTTACTCTGATTAGGAACTTGTTGATTCTGTTGATGAACTAGAGCTGCAGAAGGTAAATTAAACAAAGGGATGATAGGAGAAACACGATGATTCTGGTGATGATTATTTCTTCCTCTGGCTCTCTTCTTGGAAAAGTTATTATCAAACTTCTTCACACCAATAGCTGAGCCACCATTTTCATATAAACATCCCTTTCGGACATCTTCTTCTAGACGCACTCCCACATTCACCTTGTTAAGAAAGTCACTAGGTGCATTAATTATCATCTTCTCATGAAAGAATTATTTCAGAGTTTCAGTGAAGACCTTTGCCATCACTTCTTCCTTCCTAGAAGGATTGACTTGGGCGGCGACCAAAATTTCAACCAAACCAGTTAAGTGCTTCATACTAGCTTTCAAATTAGTCATCTCTCTGCAGAGTTCAAAAACCTCTTGCTTGATATTCTCCATTGTTCTCTTAGCACAAGTGTTGTACCGGTGAGACCAAAAGAAAAATAAGGCTTGGAAATGACTTTTGAAAGTGAAACAAAAAATGTAGAATGATGTATGATATGCAAAAGGTAGTTTTTATTTGATTTTCCAGGAACTCAAGATATTAAGTTGTAAACATCAAAGTATGAAGATAGAAGGTGAATTTTAAATTGGATCAAAACATTGATCAAGTTATCATCTAGATCAATCATCCATTTTGGTGGATTAGGGTTTTCACCCCATCAACACCCAAGATCCATTGTGCTTGATGAAACTTGTGATGTTTACAAAGAAAAACTTCCAAATTCCTTGGAAAATCAAGTGAAAAAAGGTTTTCACGGATGCATGAAGGCATGGATATGCAACAACCACAAGCAAGGTCACAAACAAAGTTGAAAGGTTCAACGTCACGAGCATGGAGTCAAAGGTAAGAACCACCCACAAGGTATGGACTAAGGTCTTTAAATCACCTATAGATCAAGGTTCTAAGGAATACCAGAGTCTGCATTTTTCTTTCAGATATTAACAACTTCATGATTACTCGGTAATTAGCAATATTCTCAAGAAAACTCATCTGAGCGCAGCATCGCGTGATAACTACTTTCGGATTACTCCGTCATAGTCTCTGCACTACATCTAAAAGGCCAAGATGGGTTAAGGGTTCTACGGTTCTCAGCTTATCTGGCTCCCATGTTAAAAGCAACGATGTCTTCCTGATTACTCGATAAACAAATACTACATTCAAGGGGACCTCCACTGAGTGAGGGATTTCATGTCTCCTTTTTCGGGATTACTCCTTCAAAGTTAACATTACTATACCTCCCTTCCTAATCTTAAGTGTAGCTTAGTCTGGGTATAAGACTTATCCTTTGTAATCTACACCCAAATAACCACAATATATCACATATAATCAAACAAACAAGTAATAATTAAAAAAACAGATATGACAAATTAGGCTTAACTCACTTAGGTATGGACTAGCAAGAGGTCAATCTTTCCCCAGCACAGTCACCAATTTTGTAGCGGTGAAAATCAGAGATCAAACTATTAATTAACTTGACTCACAAATAAGGAAGAGTTGCCACCGCGCTTTATTATTTCCAAAGGAAAAGGGAAAAGAGCGAAACAAAACCTTTAAATATGCAATGTAAAGTAATTCTCAAAAGTAATGAAAATACAATGTATTTTTGAAAGAGATCGAAAGTTCGGGGGTTGGTTATACAAAGGGAAGGTACTAGTACCCAATACATATGTGGTACTCCGCATGAACCTTTTGAAATATCTGTTTTTTGGTTAAAATGAATGTGGGGATGAGATTTTAAAAAATGCGACGACCTTGTGTCGAAGTTTTGGTTTAAATGAGGTATGAGTTTTTAAAATTAGGGTTTATAAGACTTGTCCTTAGATTAATAAAATTAAAATGTATGAAAAGGGATTTACATAATCATATTATTCGATGACATGAAGTCAACGATTTTGATTTTTCCCTTGGAGTAGACAAACAAAAATATAAAGACTAAATGATCGAAAAAAATGAAATTAACTAGAATAGCAATTAAACAACTAAATAATTAAAAACTAAAAATTAATTAAAATAAAGGGACTAATATATGTGTATTTTGTATTTTTATATAGAGAAATGTACGAGAATCAAAATTATTAACAAAAACTAAAAAAATTAAAATTGAGGAGCCCAATGGGTGCAAGCTAATTTCAGAGGGTACAGTGTAACAATCAGGGCACTAGGGTCATCTGTAGATGAGCCAAGAAGAATTTTCGTTCAACCTTCATCGCCTTCTTCTTTGACCATCACATACCAATTTCGCCGCTCATTTCACTTCATGAACAACACTCATCTCCTCCGCCTCTGTTTCAATACCGATTTGACGCCTCTCTGTTCGTCTCTTTCTTTTCTCTTTGTCCCAACCTTCCTTCTCCACCGCACAGTCGCCATGACCTCTGTCTCATCTCTTGCTCACGACGGCGGCTCAAACTTCTTCACCCACGCCTTCCAATCACTCAGCGGAGCCGATTGATATCATTCGACACTGATACGGACAACACAGTTTCCGATTTCATCGTCATCTTTCTCAAAAGGTTCATAAAACTAATTGGATCTCAATAGTATGTTGTTATCTTTCTTAATCTCTTAACTCTTGAATTGCAGAACATTACGCCTGGAGATTAAGAGATCTAACGGAAGGCACACTCACTCCGAAGAGGAACCAAAAGTTCGATCCCACTGATGCTAGTTCGCACCATTCTAAATATATTATTTAAGGACCTCTGACATTGGTATCTAAATTCATATAAGTTTTCCACTTTATGATATTTGAAATTACACAATTGCACTCGGTGGATTGGTAAATCCATGGTATCCGGTCTGTGAAATTCATTGATGAAATTAAGCATGCTATGTTTATTTATGCGGCTATTACATTTGGTGGTTGCGTAAACCTTTATTTGTCGATAAAAGTGATCTGTCACTGTGTGTAATTTATGATACAACTAGCTTACTTTGGATAGAAAAAACAACAGCAGTAAGGCAAAAATGAAGGAAGAGAAGAATTATCGAGGAAGAGTTCCTCCGAGGGGTCTTTGTACTTCATAGGTAGATTTTTCTTTGTACTTCTTGTGGTTTGTCTGTTGCTTCCGTTTGCAGGTGCACGAGTTAGTGAAGGTTGATGAAAAATGGATTGTTGTGTTCTGTGATAGACAGAGGTTTGAGTTTTCTTTGTGAAGAAAACTTGCAGAAGTGTTTTGAGAGGTTTTTGAAGGTAAACTTTTTGTTGATATTTCTTTAAGGTTTTTCTGTATCGAGCAGAATTTTAGTAATTGCTGTCTAGAATTTTCTTCCGCCAATATCAGTCATTTCTTACTGGTTTTTTTTGTCCCCTTTTCGTTGAATGATGTCTTATTTTTATAGGGAAAAAATTATAAAATTTTGAGGGGAAAGTTGGTGTATTTGAACCAAATTAGTTAACTGTTTTTTTAGCTTTCTCATGTAGCTTTTTCCTTCTTAATTCTGTGCAATTTTGATAGGTTTTTTAGACTGTTTATGGCCTGGTTTTAGTACAGGGAAACATGGCTATGGTTTGACATTATTATGCAAGTTTTTGGCAGCATTGCAGTAGGGATGATATTGGTGTTTATGGCCTGGTTTTAGTACAGGGAAACATGGCTATGGTTTGACATTATTATGCAATTTTTTGGCAGCATTGCACTAGGGATGATATTGGTGAAGAGTTGAGATGAATTAGAAATTAGGTTTAGGATTCTATGTAAATGTCTTTGGACACAATGTGATGTAATGTAATTGGATAAAATTTGTAACAACAATTGGCCTTAGATATGTAATAAACTTTGAACCTTTTTCAACCTTTTTCTCTTTCAATGCTCTAATTTACATTTAAATCTTCACTCTTCAATTCTTGCATTCCTTGGATTAACATGAAATGAAGTTAAATGGAAATGTTTCATGGTTGTCTTGAAACTTGAATAATCCTTCTTCTCTTGATGGTGACAATGATGAAATTAAAATGAATGATAACCATGCCTTGGTCACCATATAATCTTTTTATCATGAATGCTTTCCATATAACAATCAATGTCTTGAGAAAACAATTACGGCACAAACCAAAATTAGAATTTAAGAAACATCCTAAATAAGGAAAATGACTTATGACGATTCGATACTTTCAAGGTATTTTAAACACATTTATCCCTCAATCCTTGAAGTAAACTTGTAGATGACATCTTTTATGTCAGTGTACCAAAAGAATTGTCCCAGCATGTTAAAACTTAAGGAAGTTATGATCTTTGAAAGTCTGACGACAGTTACTTGAAATTAAGTCAAAGTTGCAAAAGAACCTCTAAAGTATTTGAAATTTTGAGGGTCTTTTGCACATAATCAACTCTTGACTTGTATAGAGAAGTCGGAGATGGAGATGACATCAATGAGAATCATTCGTTCGAAGAGTCACTCAAAAATGTTGAATATTGAAGAATTTATGACCTCCTGAACTTTATCTTGAAAATATTGACTTCTTGGTCTAAGTGCTTTGAATTGTCTCACATAGCCTGATCTTTTTTGTGCTCCAAGGTATATATTAATGCACATGTGAACCAGTGATACTGAAACTTTGACTGTCTGTTCTCTTGAGATTAGAGGCTAAGCTTTGATGAAGTAGCTTTTGAGAATTGATGATTCAACATTCTTGAACACTTGAGGGACAAAAAACCCTAACTGAGGCACAATACCTCACACTCTTGATTCAGACCTGGCTCTGCACACAAAACAAAAGAAACACAAACATACACCTTTGTATGTGATTAGAAGTTAGTGATACATAGGCTAAAATGTTCAAAACACTTGACAATCTCTGCATAGGCAATGCTCGAAGGTGAGAGGTTAAAATCGACTGTATTTTGTGACCTTGATTTTTGTATAAAAATGCAAATGAAGATGGGATATTAGGTCAAAATTTGGGGTATGACACACGCGTGGTCGGGCGTGGGTAAGTTTGTCTTATCGACCAAGCTCGCCGATTGCTCAGTGTCTTTAATTGTAATTTTTTTTTAGCTTTTCAGTGTTCCATGATCGAACGAGTTGTCCCCCTTGTAAATTTTCCAAGTAATACGCTCTGGTCCCCATTTTTGCGTAGACGCAATAAGGACCTTCCCAGTTTGCTGTGAGCTTGCCCTCGCGAGATTCTTTGCGTTTTCTCTTTAAGACAAGGCTGCCGACCTCGAACTCTCGTCGTATGACCTTGGCGTGGTAGCGCATGGCTATTTTTTGTTTAAGCGCGGCCTCTCGTAGGTCCGCTCCTGTTCTGATTTCTTCCACCAGATCCAGTTCTTCTCGGAGGGAGGCGTCGTTCATCTCCTCGTCGGGTGGTGCCTCGGTTCACCTGGAAGGTTCCTCGATTTCTAAGAGAATGACGACCTCTGTCCTGTAAGCTAGTCGGGAAGGGGTCTCCCCGGTTGATGAATGTGCAGTTGTTCGGTATCCCCAGAGTACACTGTGTAACTCCTCGACCCACATTTTCTTGGTTTCGTCCAATCTTCGCTTGAGGCCTCTGTTTATTACATTGTTTGCAGATTCGACTTGGCCGTTTGTCTGGGGATGCTCGACAAAGGCGAAGTGTTGGGTGGTGCCAAGTTTGGTGACCAATTCCTGAAAGGTGTGGTCTGTGAACTGAGTCCCGTTGTCGGTAACTATCGCTTGTGGGATACCAAACTGAGCGAGGATATTTCTTTCATAGAAGCGAAGGACGTTTTGGGCGGTGATTTTGGCCAAAGCTTCGACTTCTATCCATTTGGTGAAGTATTCGACCGTTGTGATCAAATATTTGTTCTGGTTTGTTCTGACCAGGAATGGACCGAGGAGGTCTAATCCCCACCAGGAGAAAGGCCAAGGGGAGGAGAGGGATTTAAGCTCGTTAGGTGGAGCTAAATGCATGTCTCCGAGCCGTTGGAATTTATTGCATTTTTTCACGTTCTCTTTCGCATCATGTTGCATGCTGGACCAATAATATCCTGCTCGCAAAGCTTTTCTCGCGAGGGATCTCCCACCTAGATGTTGGTAGCTGATGCCTTTGTGGATTTCGAGCAAGACACACTCTTCCCCGCTTCGGTCGATGCATTTGAGAAGGGGAATGAAAAATCCCCACCTGTAAAGTTTACCCTCGACCAAAACCTATGAGCCATCTCTCCGTCTGACAACGACCGCCTCTTTCAGGTCACCGTGGAGTTTTCCCTTTGTGAGGTAATCGTGTACGGGGGACATCTAGCAATCACTCTCTCCGATGGTGAACACTTCTAAGGTAGAGCACAACTTTTGAGTGCTCGGTCGAGGAAGTATTTCCTATATCACCGACTTATTCCCTCATTTTCTCTTCATGCTCGCCAATTTATATAAGATATCTGCACGGGCGTTATGTTCGTGTGGAACGTGTTGTACGTCCACAGATTTAAATTTCTTCTTCCTCTCCTGGACAAGGGTCCAATGTTCAACGAGTTGGTCGTTTTTGACTTGATATTCGCCTCGGACTTGAGAGGCGACCAACTGAGATTCAGTGAAGATTTTTACTTCCTCGGCTCCCAGATCTTCGGTCAGTCGTAAACCTGTAAGAAATGCCTCGTATTCAGCCTGATTTTTGGAGGTTGGAAAAGATAGCGCGAGGGAGACTTTGATTAGGGTCCTTTCCTTATTTTCCAATATGATGTTTGTGCCGCTTTTGGTTGAACTGGAGGCACCATCAACGAAGATCGTCCAACAACGCGATCCGTCGGGTTCTGTAGGCAAGATAATTTCAGCTATGAAGTCGACCAAAGCCTGAGCCTTAAAGGCTTTCCTGCTTTCGTATTGGACATCGAATTTAGAGAGCTCTAAGGACCATTTCAACATTTTGCCGACCATTTATGGACTTCTGAGCAGTTGTTTTATTGGTTTATCTGTTCGGAGCACTATGGTGTGGGCTAGGAAGTAGTGTCTGAGTCTCCTCGTTGCATTAACAAGGACTAGAGATACTTTTTCGATTTGTTGATATCTTGCCTCTGGGCCATGCAGGGCCTTGCTCGTGAAGTAAATTGGTCTTTTCCTTCTGGAGTTTCTCTTATTAGTGTCACGCTTATTGCCTCGGAGGCGACGACCATATAGAGGTAGAGTACCTCGTCTTTCTCGGGACAAGAAAGGACGGGTGACTGCGATAGTGTTTGTTTCAAATGAACGAGGGCTTGTTCGCATTTGGGCGTCCACTCAAAGGCAACTTGCTTGCGCAAGAGTTTGAACAAGGGAAGCGCGTGCTAGGCAGACTTTGCCACGAATTGAGAGAGGGAAGTGAGCATGCCGTTCAAGATCTGGATGGACTTTTTCGAGGTGGGCGTCTGAAATTCGGAAAATGCCTGACATTTGTCGGGGTTTTCCTCAATGCCGCATTTTGTTAGGTAGAATCCGGGGAACTTTCCTGCTCGTACGTCGAAGGTACATTTTTCCGGGCTAAATAGCACCCGACACTTTCAAGCTTTCTCGAACACTTTCTTTAAGTGGGCGGCATGGTCGAGCTCCTCGGTGGACTTGAAGATCATGTCACCTATATAGACTTCGAGCATGTCTCCTATCTTTTTGCGAAAAACTGTTCATCATACGCTGATATGTAGCGCCCGCATTTTTCAGGCCGAAGGACATTACATTATAGTAATAGTTTCCCGACTCGATCATCAAATTAGTGTATTTTTTGTTAGTTTTCGCCATTGGGATCTGGTTATAACCAGAGTATGCGTCCATGAATGATAGCAATTTGAAATTGGTCGAGTTGTTGAACAGTTTATCAATATTGGGGAGGGGAAAAGCATCTTTTAGGAAAGCCCGATTAAGATCAGTATAATCAATACACATGCTCCATTTTCCA